TGGAGAGAAAACAGTCATGTTCAGTGTCAATGATGCAGCTATGGATGTGACACGAAGTCACACTGTAAACATCGCCACTGATCTGAATCTGCTGTCGCGCCACAGTGTGGAATCATTACCTGCTAATGGAGAGAAAACTGTGAGGTTCACTGCAAATGAAGCAGTTATGGATGTGACACGAATCCACACTGTAAACATTGCCACTGATTTTGAACCAAAGTCGCATCAAAATGTGGACTTCCTGCCTTCAAATGGAGAGAAAACGGTGAGGTTCACTGCAAATGATGCCACCATGGATATGACCCACTGCCACACTGTAAATATCGCCAGTAGTGCAGCATCAGAGTCAGTTTTACCACAACATGTTCTACTTCCTGAACAAAACATGGGCTTTCCTTCTGCTGTAAAGGAGAGAAAAAGCAAAACCGCTCTGCAAGGAAACAGATTGTCAGTACAAGCTTTAGATCGGGACCTTAATAAATCCCAGTTAAAGACGAGTGAGCCCTCTGCTAATTCTAAAGGTGAGGCCACTGATGCTGGATTTTCTCAAGAAGCTGTTGATTCAGTTGGCTTTCTGGTCCACCTTGAAACGCAGAAACCTGACATGTATAATGAGAATGAAGCTCCAGGTTTGGTGTCAGCTCTCACAGAGAAGCCAGTAAATAAAAGAATGACAGACTGTCTACAAATGAATGCAAGCATGGATATGACTGAAGCTCAAACAGGCTACATTTTGGAACAAACATGCACGGATGAGTCCCCTCAATTTCTTTCTTCCTCACAAGATCGTAATTCTGAACTTCTGAAGAAAACCAAGGTGACTTCACCACGAAGCAAAGAGGAATCATCCAACCCTGATGATGTGGAAATCACAAAGCTAACACATTCTCTTGATTCAAATGAAACCGAGACCAAGAAAGAACCTGAACCAAGTGCTGCAGCTTGTTCTTTATCACAGAAGATGGAAAGTTCACCCAGTGCTGCTGACCAAGATGCTGATATGTTGTGTTCACGGAAGTCTAGAAGAAAGAGCTTAGCAGACCTCCAGTCAAAAGTAAGGCGTCTGAGCCACATGATAAATGCAGTTCCTGATGTTGCTGCCATTGATAGCTGTACAGCACCTTTGCCTGAGCTGGACCAAGACCTGGACAAAAAGTCAAAAGACAAAACCATCCCCCTCCCGGAATTGGAGCCAGAGCCAGAGCCAGAGCCAGTGGTCGAAATGAATTTGGTAAACACTGAAGAGAAAGCACAAGCTCAGTGTCTTACACAAGAAGAGCAATCTTCTGCAAGTGCTACTACAACTCCTTTCAAATTGAAGACTCAACAGCTTATGTCAAGACTCTCAGTGGGAGGGTTTAAGCCGAAACTCCCCCAAAGAAGCAAACCTGATGATACAAAGAAGGGGAGTTCTGCTGGAGAACATACAAGGACAATTACTGTCAATGTTACCCATCATATGAGCAACTTTGACAATGATGTGAGCGACATCTACGATGAAGAGCTGGGTAGTTATGAAGATGTGTCAGAAACGCTGGATACCAGGAGTCCTGAGAAAACACCTGAAAAAGAGAGTTCTTCCCATGAGTTCAACATGGTTGAGCCTTTGGAGGAAGATATGTTTGAAGAAGATGTTATGAGTACCAGCCATGGACAGAAGAGGCCTTTGCCTGAAGATGAAAACGACATGGAAGATGAGAAGAGACTGAAGGCTTCCCCAGAGACTGCTGAAATGGTAGGTCAGATGTGACTGCTGAACGAAGGAAGGAATTGTAGAGGTCTTTGTTTACCTTAATTACCTAATCTTAAGAGAAAGTCAGGTTTATACAGGAGATAGCCCTAAAATTCAAACTGTCTTTTGTTTTATTAGTATATGCATGCATGTACCAACGCAAAACCTCTTCCATGTTTACTTATCCTGTTAAGTCAGAGCAAGGTACATTTCCCCAGCAATGATTCCATCAATTTTATCGCTGTGGCAAAGTTTTAGTTTCACACTCAAAGCCTCTCCATGCCCCAAACAACATTATCACAGTAGTTTTTTAACTTAAAATGTGTAACTAGTTCCATTGATTGTAACTTAACCTTACTTATTCTTGAGTAAATGAAAACACTAGAAGGTTATATTTTGTGGCTTTTATTTGAGAATTTGCTCCATTATTTATTAGTTTCTTTTGTGCATTTTTTTGAAAGATATTCTCTTCTATTTTTTCTCTTTGTTTGTTTTGCTTCCCAGGTGCTGCAGTCGGATGTTGCAGAGTGTGAGAGTAACGTTACTACAGCTTACTCCAACAATAGTCACACAGCCAGCAGCAGATGTGAGGCTGCATCTGAGTCCAGTAAGTTATTTTGCTTTCAGATGAAATCATTAAGATTTTTATTTTCCTGAACTTTATGTTTGCTAAAATCATTGTGCTTCCTTTATTTATTTATTTATTTTCAGCTTTTAAACACAGCCTGTTTGAATCCCAGCTTGAAGACTATGCCAGTGATGCACAGAAGGTTTGTTGTTTTTAGATATATTTTTTTAAAAATATCTCAGAAATAGAATTTTCCCCAAAAAATCATATTTAACTGCATTCGATGTTTTCATTACAGAAACTTGAAGATGGCACCATTACAGTGTTAGAGTTCTTCAAACTCTTCAACATCGACTTTGTCATCCATAATCCTCGACAAAGTGTCCTTCCAGGCAGAGTAGGTTCATCTTCATTTACGTTGAAAAATACGTCTAGAGAACAACGGCCATGTTTAGTGTGGTGACGCTTTATTTGGTGTTTGCAGCTTTTGTCAGACACAGATGCCACATCGATGGACCTATTAAAGGACAGGCATATCAGCCGTCCAAAACAGATGGTCTATGAGGCAGATGTCCTGACTCTCACAGAAGAGGTGGAAAGGTATACATGCTTCATGTGATAAGACATATTTAGGATTAAAAAGACTACAACGACACATTTAATCAATTAGCACATTTATCCGTATGAACTTTTGCTTTTGTTTACATGAGAATAGTTTGATTTATTGGTGGCATGGACCACCTCTCTTCAAAACTCAGTAATCCCACAATAAAACTAGTAATAACAGACACCACACTTGTCTAATAAATTAAACTTGCCTGTTAAAACTTGAGTATTACAATTAAAGCTTATACACATCTGTTTGGTCCACTTTCCAGGTTGAAGGTCCGAATGTGGGATCTCGACAAACCTCTCAAGACTGTTAATCGACCCTTGTGGGAAGAGATGAAATATTCTTCAGAGAAAGAGGTATTAAAGGACAATTCAAGACCCTTCTCAAGCTGCAGTTTGTTTCCCTATTTTTTGCATGTGTAATTTTTTACAATGTGATGTGGGTAATGTGAACTATACAAAAAACAAGGTGCATATGTCTCCTACTAATGGCTCCACAAGTAACCATATGCAGTATTCAGTATTTGTCACTTTTTGAAAGGACATATGTTGGATTGTTTTTTGGATTTAGCCAATACCCTTTGCTTGGTGTATGTAATATGAATATCAATAAATGTGGCATACAGTATCATTCCTAACCCTCACTGTATTATTCAACAGCTCAAGTGTTTTGGTGCCAAACTAAAAGAGAGAAATAACTTCTTCCGGAAAACGAGCAAAGTTCAATCACATGAAATGAAGGAGGTCCTGTACTCAAATCTCGTGCAGGCTAATTTGGTAAGAACTTTGACACAGAGATACTCAGCTACATGATTAGAAATAGTTTTAAATATGAAATGTCATCACCTTTATTTTGTTCCCAGGAGGAGCAGCAGAAATTGAGAGGAACAATTGAGCAAGCAGACGAGATGATAAAAAGCTTGGATGACTGCATCCGTGAACTGGAAACAGGTACGGCCACAGTGGAGACATTCTAATTTGTGATACATCGATTTTGTGCATTTCGTCGAATTGGCGTGAAAGCCGCACTACAGCAGGTCAGAGAAAGAGACAACGTGGTGGACGTGCTACTACAGCCTCAACTGTTTTTGCTTCATTCAGAACTTTCTGCAGTTGAGGAAAAAGGCCTTGAAGATAAACCGAGCCTGAATTCACTGCAGAACGGTAACTTGTGACGCCATTTGATTATTTCAGTTGTTTTTTCTGTTTGGTTGACGTGAAAAGGTCAGTGTGTTTTGTTTGTTCTTTAACAGAGATGAAGAAAGTCACTGACACTTTGGCCAGTAATGAGAGGTGAGTTGGGATTATTCACCATCTCTTTTCAGTGGAAAGTTTGACTGGAGCCTGTAGCTACTATAGGTACAATGTTCAATTCTTATGACTATATAAATGTTTTTTTTTTTTTTGTTGTTGAAAGTTTTCTTTTTTTTCCTTGTACAGACAAATATCTGAACTGGAGATGGAGAAGAAGCAGTATTCAAGCAAACTTGGCAGGCTGAAAGCTGAGACGAGGAACCTGGAGAGCCACATCGCTGCGCTGAATACGTCAGTTTCTGTTTTTAATGGGTTTTCACATCTTAAGGTCAAATATTTACACAAAGATATAAAAGTGAAATGCTTTTTGTATATTCTTTACCTCAGGCTGAATGAATGGAGGATCAAAGAGAGGAAGGACAACGGCACCATCTACACTTTCCTCCATGAGACAATGCATCTGCAGTTGGTATATGAAAAGACCAATGGTAAGGCTGGTTTCACCTGATCTCACATAGTCTAAAGTGCAAGAAAGTGAATAGGTGACACTGGCGATCGTTTAAAATGTATTTATTTTTAATGGACGCTCACCATCACTGTGAATGTTTCAACTGTTGCTCCTGAGCATCTTTTGCCCTGGCCACATTTTTCCTCACTGTGAGCTTATTTTTCACTGCAGTATAAAGTCTTGCATCTCAATGGAAACAGCATAACCATGACTAGAAGTGGAGGAGACTCAACAGTGCTGACAACCTGTTGAGCCAAGTTGCATTTAGTTTGAGAATGTTTTTTTTCCCCTCTCATGCTCTCTGATTTGTTTCTATACTTGTCTCCTCTCAGCTGTGTCTAAGCACAACCTGCAGTTTAGCTGAATAGCCCCTTCATTTTTAGATTAGATTTTTTATTTATTTTTTACAGTTTTACAGTGTAATCTTCAGTTCTGGCACCATTTTTTTCTGACAGCATTCCTTACAAAGCTGCAGTTTGGGGTTTCAGAGGGATTTTAAAGCCAATAAAGGGCAAAGCAAACAAAAACTGGTAAAAAGCATGAAAGAAATAAGCCTGCAGAATGGAAAGTAAAGCATACAATGCAAATAATTGATATAACACTAATCAACAGGCAGTTTGCACAAGTAGTTAAAGCACAACATTGTAAAATACACTGCAGAGGTAAAGGCAGATTGGACATAATCTGAAACAGACAAAACTGAAATGAGAGCAGGCAAGGGAAGCATGCAGCAACTTGGTCTGACGTTTAGACAGGTTTTTAGATTACACACAAAAGAATGGTAAGAATCACTTTATCGTATGCAGAGTGGATGTATGTTAGAGAACTGGGAGACTCTTACTGTTAAGGCTGTCTCACCAAAGGATGTTTTCCTCACTACAACATCACCTCTAATGCTGCTCCTGGTCAATGTATCCCCAACATTTCTCTATAATGTATAAATGTGGTAAACGAGAAATGTAATTTATATATATATATATATGTTACTCCTAATCAACTGGAATCTTCGCAGTTTACCACATTCACATTTCAGAGAAATGCTGTCGACAGAACAACACATTGATGTATGCACGGTACATATTGTACACAGCACTGTGTACAAGGCAATTCAAACAAAACATTGCTCTTTAAAATTGTGGCCATGTTACACTTTCAGCCTCAGTTGCTCCTGTCATGTTTTGTGTTTTGGTCAGTAGAGTTGCGCCCTGCCCAAACCTAAACAATATTTTAAAATCGGTGCATGAGTGTAACGTAGGCTTAAGTAGCACTAATGCCCTTTACCACTTTTCTTTTTTGAAGGAAATGATGCTGAGTACGGGTCTGAGCGGAAAATCGCCCACATCGCTGTCAAATTTGAACTTGACGGTGAGGAAATAAATAAGAGGACTCATCTGTCAAGCGTTTGTGTTTCATCTGAATCTGTGTTGCCTTTGTTTGGGTCTAATTCTCAGTTCTTATCCTCTACTTGCATATCTGTCATGTTGGAGCAGATCAGTAGTTATGATTCTTTATAGTTTTACTACCCATTGGCACTTGGCGTATATTGAACATTGTCACTGTGAAAATAAATGTTTGCTTTTTGTTTTCTAACCAGATGAGAAGTCACAGTGCCATGCACGTATTGTTCACAAACTGCTCTCCAAGTACATTGAGGGAGAATCTGCCCTGGTAGAGAAATACCCAACAAGCAGACATGTTCCAAAGGTTGGTGTGAATGGAAATTAGTTTTGTTGGTTTAGAGATTAGCTCTTGTGCAGCTGCATGTTGTACTTAGACCATCTGTTGACATGCTGTCATATTAAGTTTTATTTGTTTATTTTTTCACCTTTTAGAAACATACAAAGAGAACACAACTATCGGATCAAAGCATTGTGCAGCAAGAGGCAGAAAGCTTGGTGGGCTTAATTAAAGCCTCCACCTAAATAATGATAAAATGTCACCAAATTATAAGCAGAATAAAATGTACATACAGGAAAAACAACTTCACCACATCATGATCTTTTAAATGTTTTTGAAATACTTTTATCGATGCACAAATCTTAGCTATAAAAGATAAAAGAAAAGTTGTTCCATAACTTAGTACCACTAAACCTGAATAGAAATTGACCTCTAGAAGTCAGAAATTAAGGATTACATGGTCAGTTCATGGTCCTGTTCTTTTTAAAGAAGCAGACACATCCGAGACACTGTTTTGTACAGAGGATGCTGATAGCTAATTCTAAGCGGATTTTTCTAACCTTGAAGTGTTTTGTCTCAAAACGATGTGCTCCCCATGTTGGAAGTAGCATCCTATAAAGTTAAACTGTGTCTACACATAAGAACACTGTCAGACACTAAAAATCATGGTTAACATTCTTTCTGGATGGCTTCCACTAAATGATTTTGTCTGTCGTGTTCAGCTGCTCCATGACATCAGCTTGGTGGTGAGTCGCTGTCGTCTGCTGGGTGACGAATTGCGTCTGCTGAAAATGTGGGGAGGCCTTCGACTCGATATACTGGACATCAGCTGCATGGACACTCAGTAAGAGCTCTGCACCACAGAACTTCACTCATATTTTCCTCCTGAATCAAACAATCAGGTACACATCATTCCAAAGCACCAATACACGGCGGCCTGCTTATCACTTCAGCTGTGATAGTGTTGAATCTGTGGGATTCTCAGTCTGAAACCAGCCAAACAACCTCAGATTTTACTTTGGAACTCTGCTGTAATGCAATGTGATCCTGTTCAAGCAACAGTTACGTGACAGTTTGTCTCATCAAACATTTGTTCAGAATCACATCAAGAAAGATCTAATTTCCTAGGAGATGGTGATTGTTTTACATCTTGTGTCACTGGTAGTTGCGAGGCTCTGAGAGGCAGGAGTATGAGTAAAGTTGCCTTTTGGCACTTTAAAAGTGTGGAAAGTTAACATTTGATCAAAAACAAAGCTATACTATATAAAATCCTGTTGTCTTCTTTCAGAGTGCACATTGTCTTCAGCAGTCTCAAGACGTTTTCCAAGTTTGAGGTGGTCTTTGTCGCCAGTCTGATCAACCAGCTCTGCGTCCTTCAAGTAGAGAGCTTCAAAAACATCATTGGAAGCACAACGTGAGTAGGACTCAAACGTGAATCAACAGGCTTAGGATGTTTGAATTAAAATAATTAGTGAACTTGTAATCTTGTGTCATTCTCGTGGAAAGTAGTGCAACAAGTTTTACTGAAAGCAATGTGTTGTGTCAGCATGTTAGTAGACTGTACAATTTATTTAACCAACAAGCAAACAGTGTAATTGACATTTGTATGTAATTGCAGGATCAAACATGTTGAAGACATCGTGGCGTCGTTCACTCCAGCTAAGAACCTCTTGACGAAGATTGTCAAAAAGATTCACGATACTCTGCTCTGTTGAGACCAGGATTACGTCCACTATCGCATTTTGATTCAAGCTGTTTGTAATCTGTTGTACAATATTCATGTTAAAAGATTTAATACATTAACTGGCTTTTTACAAAAAAAATCAAAATAATAATAAATAAGTGTAGTGTACTGGTTTCTAGTCTGTTTTTTTTCTTCCACAGATTGACAGAAGTGATGTTTGTTTATTGGAATTTGTGTCCCCATAGTGCTACTGCAGCTCTGTACAGTTACAGCTGTGCAGTAGCTGGTATTGAAGAAATTTGTTAGAAATTCTTTGGTGCATCAATATGAGCAACATTAACGTTTAAACTGCTACAATGCATCCAATCAGATCAATTCCAACAACAGCATGTCGACATCAGAGAAGCTTCCAGAAAGCACCAGTATTTTTTCATAACAAAAATACGTGTTATTTCCTAACAGTTTATTATTGGATGAGTCAAATACTTTTCTCCAGCAAAAAAAAAGTTTCTATTGTCGCCTTTAGGTGGTGGACTTTCGCAGGTTATTGCAGCTTTGTGTAGTGTTGAATCAACTTAAATATCTTTCACTTTATTCTAGCGACCATAAATACATGATCTCTTTTAATTTGTCAATCTGTTTTTAAGAAGAGCTTTGGGTTTTTGTTATTAGAGAGCAGGAACTGTACAATACATGTTCATGTTTTCACTTAAAGAATGATTTCTGACTCTTTCTCTGCTACATTATCCTGATTTTTTTTTTCTCTGCGCATGTATCTTTTGGGATTTATCATATCAGTAAAAATGATTTTGCAGAATAAAATGTTACAGATATATAGGTATGCAGCTATTTGGTTGATCTTCAGGGATTTTATAAGCTTATACAATATTAGTCAGAATTAGAATTAATATTCCCTGTCCTTAAAGGATTTCTAAAGTCTACCAATTTGTTTGTTTGGCCAGTGTTTGGTATTTTTCTTCTCTATGTCAGCATGCTATCACTGTTTCTGCATATTTGGCCCTGTGACAATAACCTTATTACTACTTTACTGATTTATGGTGCATTATTCACTCATCAGTGGGTATATTCTCTATCAAAGGACGTTCTGTTCTTCGTTTCAGATCTTCCACATGCAGATGTGACGTAAGAATGACAAAAAACTCTTCCTGAACTTGTGGAACTACAACAAAAACACATTGAAGGTGTAACCTGCAGATTAATTAATGTTAAACATGGACAAAGTTTCTAGACTCATTTATGCCTCTATTTAGATAATAGGCTTCAAATGAGACATTAAAGTGCATCTTCTGCTGCACCTGCTGTTCTGTGGTTGGACTTCAGAGGGCACTATGGGCCTGTAAAATATGTAATGTATTCCAACAGCTATTGCTTTAAGAAAATATGACTTTTCTTTGCCATATTGTATTGCTAATGTTTACCTTTAAATCCTTTTAGTAGTGAACAGTTGGACTCGTACAATGTCTAATTCTGTGTTTAAAACATATTGAGTTTTTAAATACACTTGAAGATTACACACAGTAGCTTACAGACTGTAACAATTCTACTTAAATATAAAATAAGAAGCTTAAAATTATGAGCTGCAGCAACAAAGTTTGTTCAATGTTGACCACTCAGAAAATGATTTTTAAAAAATCAGACTTTGTTTTAGATGTACTACTTTTCAGTGATATTTGATAGCTGAGTTATCTCACAGATAGCCATGTGATACTTCAACCTACTTGAGTAGGATCAAGCACAAGATTTATTCCTCTCCTCAGAGCAGCTGCATCACTGGAGCAAACACATCCAGCTTAGTAGCTCCTAAACAGCGGAAGATGTGAACGTTTGCATGATCTTGCTGCTGCCTTTAGCGCAAACTGGCCAAGACGTGACTGACATGGACAGAGTCCAGAGTTCATCAGAAAGGTCAAACAGCCAGAGACGAGCCTCTAAGAGGATGGATGGGGGGTGGGCACTGACTGTCCACTCCTCGAGCCCCGACGTCAAGGGTCAAAGTGGACTTTCCAAACCGTCACCCTCGAGTGAGCCATCAGGGGAGACGAGTTCCTCCTTCCCTCCCCCAGGAACAACGGCTGCTGTCAAACCAAATAGAGGACAGCGGCATTTGGGTGTCCTGACCTCCTGAGGGTCAACTTAATTTGATTTTAATCGATCAGTTGAAGGATTTTTCATTATTTATTGAGGAGTGAAAGTGACTCATTCATTAGATTATCACACAGCAGTGCAAACAGGAACTGTGGTGCTTCTTCTTCTTTTTTTTTTTTACTCTTGTTTAATTAAATTATATTGATGGGCATGGTTTTCAGTTTTTTTAAAAAAAGCTCAATCTTAATGTACTTACCTGTCTATAACATGGTTACATTTTTTTATTTTGCGACTTTACACATTTAATTAATTTAAAACTAATTCCAGGACTCATATATTTGGAATATATGTTTTTAATCTTTTTAGCCACCTCTCTCTTCAGTGTGGATGATTTAATGTTAAATAAACACAGAGAGTGTTCATCACCAATCATGCACACTGCAAAATTATCTCTGGTGATAATTATATCTGCCTGCTAACACTGTAATTTTAGTGTTGCCCCAGTTGATAATGCTAAATGGGACTCTAGCATTCTGCCAAATTAAAATGAAAAGCATCTGACTGTTGATTGAACTGTGTGAAAGAAAAAAAGAAAAACAAATCATTGCGCTTAGTAATAAGGAAACAAGACTACAAGAGACTACAGTCATGCCAGCCGCTCATAGTGATGCTGAGCTGGAACATTGCTCTTTATTTATTATGTAGTTTACTTGCTAAATTTCACTTAAAACATACTCATACATCATATTTCATGACCAAATACTGACATTCGTACCTGTTGTTGGTGCTAAATAAAAAGCTAAGGATCACATTTCTTCTTGTGACAATTTCCTGGCGATCCATTTAATCGATAGCTGAGGCCCTTCTCTCAAAACCACAGATGTCACCCTCACAGTAGTGGCAGAGAAAAAGTCAACAAAGTCAGTCAGACTCAGTCTTTGAAGGTGTTTACAGCCATGGAAATCCATCCAGTTATATTACAGCCTGATGTTTTTACATGAAGCCAACACCTACAGGACATCTGTGATCTCAGCATCATAATTACTCCATGCAATGGTACAGAATCATATACAGTTAATTGGTAAATTACGCTGTGATGTTGGTTTGGAATGGCAGATCCAAGTAAGTTAGAAAACAAACAAACGGAAGAATTCACCTTTAAAGAGTGAAAAATCAGGCAAAACTAATGCATGCAAAGTTCAAGAGTTTCATGTGTTTATGTATGCCTTAATAATGTCAAATTTGTGTTTATTTTTTTGCTCGACACAAACTACATCATCATATGGGAGGTGTGATGAAACACTTTTTCTTTCTGGAAGACAAATATACAGTTTTATTGTGATTTAGATGAAATTAGGTGGCAACACATTGTCACTGCACCAAAGGCCTAATTCTGTAAAGTGGAGCATTTGGCCTCCAGCAACCTGGTTTAAATCTGTTTATCCTCAGATCCAGGGGCAGTATTTCACCTCAGTAACCTCATCAGTGTCCTCCACTGACATCAGAAAGAAGGAAGGTTTGAGGTAATACAATTAGTTTTGGATGATGGAGAACTACATTGCAATTTCATTTGTATTTAGGTCTAAATGCAGCCCTCTGCCAGACGCACCGGAGCTGTACTTCAGAGAGAAAGAAATATACAACAAATACACACTTTATTCTACTACAAATGACTCTTTTTTTTAAAAAGGAGGAGTCTGATTCTAGAGAAAGACTATTAACATTTAGCTAATTAGCATATTTAGAGTGCAAAGACCAGATTTACTAATGCAGTCTACGGTTTTACCACCAGCTCCCACTGCTCCCTTTACCCTGAATTCCCCTCCACCTTTCCTGCTGCTGTGTGCATGAGCACAAATGTTTACAGGACACACTTGAATAGCGTCGCGTGGATCAGTCCCTGTCACCGAGTTTGTTTCACATCTACATTGCCAGAATGCTGTGGCTGAACACACTCACAACAGGTGGAGAATGTGAAGAAAAAAATACTTTCCTCTCTTGGAGTAAAGTTTCCAGAGATGGTACTGATTGATTCCTCTGATTGACCCCTTTATGTAAAAGTAGTATTTGTAGCAGATGTGCACTCTGCAAATCTTCTATAGATTCTTGACCTCATGTAGATCTATTGTAGGACTGGCAAACACTCCCTGTACCCCTCCAAGGCGCCAAACTATCTTTGTTTCCCTTTCATCCATAAATCTGGATGTGGCTCCCACTGAAGGAGGGTACAAGACCGAAGGTGTGAGAGAAATCCTTAGAATTGATGCTGGCATTAAGTGCGTGAACTGCTGTTCTGTTAGTGTCACTTCTCCTGATATCAGTAAACCTTATTTCAACCGAAGTCATCTGAGTGTCCGGTGTGTCTCTCTGTGTTGGGTTCCTCGTCCTACATCAACCTCTTCCAGAAAAGTGTATCGGTTCAGAATCGCGAACCATGTCTTTAATATAATGTTATAAGAGTAGAATTACATTAGTACCTATGTACTGTGATTTGTGTATGTTTGCACAGAAAATATGATTATGATAAAGTGTGTGCTGTGTCAGTACTCAGACATCCACCTTCTACCTATCCATATTGTCCTTTTTAGATATCTTAAATAAAGTTTGAACTAGTCACAGTAATGTTGGGAATGCTGCTTCCAAACTCAGGCTTCACAATAATAGTCCACAGACCAATAGGTGATGTCATGGGTACTGCAGTATGTCCATCTTTTAGAAACAGTCAGGCTGAACGTATAACAATGTGATGTGGGGTCTCTCAGGGCTCTGTTCTGGGACCACTGCATTGCCTTGATTGATTTTTTTGTGCCAGTTTTTATGAGTTTTCTACTGGGAAATCCCTAATTATTAAATAACTGCACCAAACACTGGATAAAGAAATTCAGATTTAAACATGCAGAAGCTCCCCAACATTTCATTTATATGTGGAGCTCAACAGAGAGCTCATTTGCAGTAAGGCAGCCAACGTAACTGTGTGAACTGCTAACACCTCTGTTCTATAGGAATTCACCTCGATTGTCCTTCTCTTCCTCTGACCTTGGTGGCCATATTTGTCCATAGAA